CGAAGCAAACTCATGCTAACTTGTCAGAGGGCACAAGGGAAAATCTCACAGCGCGAAGCGTATCAATAAACCCTTGTGCCTGCCACAAAGGGTGCTTGGCGTGCTGGAGGAACCCCGCACAGCAGAAAGTCCGAAAACCCCGCCTCCGAGATGGCTCTAAGAGGGCCGAGCATGGTCACCAACAGTCCCAAGACGCCTCCGAACGGCGAACCTACTCTAAGATTTCCCAAGCTGGCCCCTATGTTGCCTCAAGACGGCTCCAAGATGGGCCTCGATGGCGTAAAAACGGCGAAACGACCTCGCGCAACCCCGGACACAAATTCTGCTACCCGAACAAATGTCGCGACCCCGAAAAACGGGAAGCCCCGAACTTACAAACATTGCTGCTGCCAACAATAGGAGGCTAGGGGGAAGAGTTGCGAATCGCAGTCCGTGTGTTTTTCTCTCTGCTCCAGCTCCAATTCCTCTTCCTGCCGTCTACGTCTCGCTGCGTTGCCGCGTGACGAAGAGGAGTTGGAGCAGCGTTTCAAGCAGTTGCACGTGGGGAAGAACATGTTATCATACTGTTTCTGCCACGTGACGCGCAGGATCGAATCATCTTGGGTTCCGCTCTGCGGTGCCACGTGGCTCTACTGATAGTGGTTCCCCGCGCGACAAGCGTCGCCGCGCGACGGGTGGTGCAGCCTTTGCTTCGCCCCCCCGAGGCGCTGCCTCGTCGCGAATAGTCGGATGACATGTGCTCGACCCCCCCCCCAAACCCTTGCCACGCGACGAGCCGATCGACGTCGCATGTGCTTTTGCTCCTCTGCTTGGCCACGCGGGGTGCAGAAGAACCGTCTCGGGGCCAATCTGGGCGGTGCACGGGGCGTCTGGAGGGTGGACTGGGAGGATGTGGAGGTCGTCTCGGGGAGCTTGGGGCCTCGGCGCGGGGGCGGGTATTCTGAGGTCCCTCGGCGCTTTCCTCGGGCCCCCCCCAGGCCCCGCGGAGAGCATCGGATGCCTCCCGAGGGGGCCCCGCAAGGTAGCACCAGGAACGCCTGAAGAGAACCAGCGACGGGGACGGGCACAACTTAAACTTTGTCCCAACCCTCCTTGGTCGGGTATTCGTTTTGAATAGAACACCGCGGTCGCGTCTTCTCCTCCTCCCGCCTCCCGTGTCCGTCTCTTCCCCTCTCGCCTCGTGCGCATCTCTTCGGTGTGCATGTCGTCTGTGGTACCTGTCTCCGGTCTCGCCGACTCTGGGCGGCTGCGATCTGCGGGACCTCGCCGTCTCTGGGGGGCTGCGATCTGTGACGCTGCCGCCACTTTCGAGGGCTGCTGATGGGCCAGCGGGGTGAAGTACCGCGCGGACCTGAGCGGAACCTCGCCGAGCCCTGGGGGGCTGCGATCTGCGGAGGGCTGTTGGTGGGTCCAGCGGAGTGGGGCACCGCGCGGACCTGAACGGGACCTCCCCGTCCCTGGGGGGCTGCGATATGTGAAACTGTCGCCCTTTTCGAGGGCAGCTGGTGCGTCCAACGGAGTGAGGCACCGCGCGGACCTGAGCGGGACCTCCCGTCCTTGGGGGGCTGCGATCTGCGACGCTGTCGCCAGTTTCGGAGGTTGCTGGTGGTTCCAGAGGAGTGGGGCACCACGCGGACCTGAGCGGAACATCCCTGTCCCTGGGGGGCTGCGATCTGCGGAACTGTCGCCACTTCCGGGGGCTGCTGGTGGGTCCAACGGAGTGAGGCACCGCGCGGACCTGAGCGGACCTCCCCGTCCTTGGGGGGCTGCGCTGGTGGGTCCAGCGGAATGAGGCACCGCGCGAAACTGAGCGGGACATCCCCGTCCTTGGGGGGCTGTGATCTGCGAAAGTGTCGCCACTTTCGACGTGTGCTGGTGGGTCCAGCGGAGTGGGGCACCGTGCGGACCTGAGCGGAAACTCCCCGTCCTTGAGGGGCTGCGATCTGCGAAATTGTCGCCACTTCCGAGGGCTGGGGGCACCGCGCGGACCTGAACGGGACCTCCCCGTCCCTGGGAGGCTACGATATGTGAAACTGTCGCCACTTCCGAGGGCTGCTGGTGGCCCGGTGCGAGACCGGCGCCCGGCACAGCGGGTGGCCCGAAGGCGAACCCGGCGCTGGCAAACGAGCGAGAGCGCCGGCGCCCGCAGCTCGCCGCACGGCGACCGACCAAATCAGAGCACCCCTCTACCCCGAGAACAATCCCGAGCAAATGTGCCCAACAGCTCGCTCATCGCTGGCGCCCCCGGCACCTCGGCGCCGCCTTCTCAAGGTCGATCCCCGCGGGCCCGCAGACGGCCGGCCGAAAGAAACCAGGCCCCTGAACGCTCCGCCGGATGCGCGGACTCCGGCGCCCCCCGACGCTGGAGACCGGTGCGAAGCCAGGGGCGGCGTCTGGAGACGTTGACCGCCCCTGGCACAGGGGCCGTCGCCGTCCGCATATCGTTGTTGTCGGAGGGCATGCGCGCCCGGGCGGCGGCCCTCGTCGACCTACCAGAAGACGAACCGCACCGCGCCGACGCGACATATCCGCCACGAGGGGGGGAGGGAGGGGGGGGGGGGGGGGGGAGGGGGGGGGGGGGGGGAGGGGAGGGGGGAAAAGGGGGGGGGAGGAGGGATGGGGGGGGGGGAGGGATGGGGGGGAGGGCGGAGGGGGAAAACAAACAGGCGGATATCCCGCATCGAAACTCAGGGACACCCAAAAACACGTTATTGCCCAGGGTCCGAAAGACGGGGCGGGGCGGAAGCGGTGCCAACCTCGACCTAGGGCGGGGGAAATGAACCGCGAGCCACGCGCGCACTGCGCGCGCAAAGGGACGCACGCACACAACGCACGCAAAGGCACGCACGCATCTGCGCGCGCAAAGGGGCGCGCGCACAACGCGCAGAAACGCGCGCGCACACTGCGCGCCGCGCCAACCTTCAGCGCTCGCCGCCCCAACGACGCCCCCACCCCTGCGGATCGCAGTGGGCCTGGCCCCTTCTACGGCTGCATCGCGTGCCAACAGGGTGCAGGACCCCCACTTAAAGAGGCCTGGTGCGAGACCAGACCCTGGCACGGCGGGTGGCCCGAAGGCGAAGGCGGCGCTGGCAAACGAGCGAGGGCGCCGGCCCCGGCACCCGCAGCTCGGAGCACGGCGGCCGACCCAGTCTGAGCACCCCTCCACCCCGAAAACAGCCCCAAGCAAGAGTACTCAACAGCTCGTTTGTCGCTGGCGCCCCCGGCACCTCGGCGCAGCGTTGTCAAGGTCGATCCCTCAGGGCCCGCAAACAGCCGCCCGAAAGAAATGAGGCCCTTGAACACTCCGCCGGGAGTGCGGTGGTCAGGCGCCCCGCAGCGCTAACGACGAGTGCGAAGCCATGGGAGACGCCCGGAGACGTTAATCGCCCGTGGCCCAAGGACCGTCGAGCGATGCCCCCCCGCCCTGACAAAAATCCAGCACGAAACAAAAGTAAAAAACACGGACACCCAGGGCACAATGTGCACGGTGGACCGGATGTCTATCCGCTGCGCGCTGCGTGGGTTTGCCGCGTCGGCTCTTTCGCAGAATACTTATACTGTTTAATTGACTCCGCCCCCCAGAGCCGACCCGTTGCCCCCCGACCCGGCCGGGCGGCCTGGACATCCATGGGTCGACGAAAACAACAGCCCGTTCCTCGGGTAGCGGAGAAGCTCCTGTCCGACTCGGCGGTCTGTGGACGCGCCGCGACCCGACGCCGCGGCCCCAGGGGCAAGGCGTGGGGCGGCGAAGATCATGGGCGCGCCCGAATCCGGGAGGTCCGAAGCGAATCCACGGGCTCACCTACACCCAAGCGACGCAACGCGCACCAGGCCAGGCACCGAAGCCCCCGACCTGGCAATACAAGTAGCAGCACGTGCAGAATACCTAGATAGACCCCCCCCCGCAAAGACATACAAATCGTGGACAAAAACAAACAAGTGCAGCCTCAATCAAGTTGGACTCGAAAACCACACACAAGGCGCAGATAGCTATCACGATCGATCGTGCACATCACGCGTGAGCGCGCATCGTTGGCAAACCTCGGAAAAATGAGCTCCACGAACAAGTTCTGCATGACCCGCCGCCGTCCGCGTGGACGCGCGGCCTTGCTTCGGATCGGTCTGGCGCCTGCGGGCGATGTTGTCCGCGCCACAGTCCGCAGTGAATCCCGCGGGACCCCCAGAAGCCAGCCGGGTCCAGCGCCCCAACTCGCACTCGAGAGGCACGCCGCCGTGGCCGGCGGGCGGGGCGACGGAAGACGCCGCCCTAGCCGCGGCCGCGGCGGCGGCAAGTGCAGCCGCAGCGGCCGCGCGGGCAGCCACCGCGGAAGGGGCAGCAGCCGCGGCCGCCGCGCCGGCGGCGCCAGCAGCCGAGCCGGCAGCCGCCGCGGCCGCGGCGCCGGCCGCCGCGCGAGCGCCCGCCAGCGGCCGGCGGGGCAACCCCGCAGCCAAGCCAAGGGGGCCGCCGCCAGCGGCAGCCAGGGCGGCGGTGAGCCGCGCGGCCGCCGCCCGGCGATGAGCGCGGCGCCGCGCCGTCCGCGGCACGCCAGGAGACGGGGACATGGCACCAGGGGAGGGGCGCCTGAAAGAGGAGGCCCCTCCCATCGGCCGACAGGCTGGCCGAAGTCAAGGGGGAGACTCCATCCAGGGACCTTGGGCCAGGGGGGTACGGACACACACACACACACCCACACACACACACACACGCACACGCACACGCACACGCACACGCACACGCACACGCACACGCACACGCACACGCACACGCACACGCACACGCACACGCACACGCACACGCACACGCACACGCACAC